ACTTTATCTTCATATTTATCATTTATCTTCACCTACACATGTGCCAATATTAGGTATTTTATTATTTGCTCCAATTGATTGTGATATAGCTTTTTAAACTCTGATTTGAGTTTCTTTTTTAATTTTAGGTTTTTATCTACAATAAAACTTACCTATTATATTTTTAACATATGTAATTACACGTCTCGTTATATTATAGCGTTTTTAAATCACTACCACTAGCTTTTCATTAGACAAAAAACGTTACAATATTTCGTACATTATAAAAATGATGCAGATCATACTGTGAATCTGACTTATAACGAAACCCATAGCAAGCAACGGGGATGTCAATGTTAGTTGGGAACTAATAAACTAAAAACCTAGTTCAAGGAACTATTTCTATTTCTATTCTGAAACTAGAACTAAAGAACTAGTTCCTTCGAAGGAACTAGAATTCCAACCTCTAGTCTAGGCGCCATGACTAGAACCAGAGATATAGTACATCGAAATTCTACCAGTCACCGCTGTTATTACCTATTAATTTATCAATTTAATTTCAATCAAAATAGAACGAACAAAGAATAAATAATATTATACCCGTAAGTATTCCAATTAATTGAGGAAGTTGTTCCTTCCTTACCGCAATATTGGTCATCGTCTCCGAAATACGGTGCCTCCAGATCGGTTGTGTATCCCTAGAAAAACCTTTTACATAACCGTGCCGTCAGCGACGTTCTCAAAAATTAAAATGCGTACGGAAAAAATCAAGCGTTACTTCTCCGATTGCACAACCGACGTACGCCGGGTCCATGCAGAATCATTTTTATTAGCCGAGTTCTGTTACCATTGACGTCATTACCGGCGAGACCTCTTGGAAGTGAGAGTGAGACAGATCGAGGCGGACGATTTTGTCGCTAGGTATATCGACAGGTTTCATAGTCCAGTGAAAGTCGATTGAAATAAGCATAGAGATATAAGAATAGTAAGAAGACAAAACACACCTGAAAAAACTTTGATCGAAATACGGAGCCATCAACAATGATTGAAATAGTTGGCAATACTGTGTTAGAGGATTTTAGGATTAGTGATTGGTAATCATGGTAAAACTATATCTATCAAAAAATGTTAGCAAATTGTCCTAATTTGAAGCCCTTGAAAATTTACAAGCTTTAACTTTACCTATTTGTAAAATCGACATATCTTTCAATGTAAAATATTACTGTTTTTTAATACAATTAAGTCTTTAACTTTGAAAAGAAATATTTATTAATTTCGGCTTTTTGTTTTCCCAGTGGTCAAAACATATATACCGATGGTGCCATGTAAAAATCATAAGTTGTAGTCATTTTCGGTGAAACGGGAAGTGACCAAAAACAATTAAAAACGTCAATCAATTCTAATTTAGGTCATACACTGCATACAAAATCTCGTCTTTTTTTATTTGATAACATAAAAATGTCATAAGGGTCGAGACGCACCCGGTATGTTGATTATAGGCAGTTATTTGACTGAAATAGAAATTAGGGAACTTTCTATTTTTTTAATTAATCTTTTTTTCTAGATTTTTTTTGTTCTTGATGAAACAGTTTCTGTTGAACGTTTGGCCACAAAAACATTTAAAATTTATGGTTTCAGTCTAATAACAAACATATATTCAATTTTTGTCAATGATGTCATATACTGATTATTTAGATTCCAAATATATTGAGAACCATTACTTGTAGCGATTTTACCAAGAGACCTTTTTTACGTAAAAAACGTCATAAATGTACATTTTTTTATTCAGTAGTTTTATACAGGTACGGACGAAAAGTTATTACTCTTCCAACCAGTTAAAAAATATGTAGTTAGCGCCCCCTACAAGTAGGAGTCATATAGACGTCGAAATCAATTTTGCCATGTCAAAAACTCCAGGACGCTGATTTTCATCCAAATATCGATGTTATATACTTATTTCAGAAATTATTTGAAAAAAATCGAAATAAAAATGAAATTTTTACACCCTGTATCCCCGAAACTTAGCATTTTAGGACATCTACAAAATATGCTGCCGAAGTTACTCGAATACAATTCGGACCACTCTGTATATTAGACTATCAATGTTTGAATAGAATCAATTTTCTATTATTCACTTTTCAAGTCTCTGTAGTAAATCTACTACAGAGACTTCCCAGTCGGGAGGAAAGTGAATTTAAGTTTTTAATGAATGCCAAAAATGTCTACAAATTTTTGTAATAAATAATATCTAAGCTGAATGGGTTATTGATATTTTATACTTATATTTTCCTTTTGTTTAATATTTGATTTTTTGACGCCTCGCCTCGCGCCTGTACGAATTTTCTGGAATTTCAATTGTTCTCAGGGTACATACAAGAGCGGTAATGAGCGTAATTACCCCACCCCGGACCCCAAGAATTAATTTATAAATAAGATAAAATGTTGTATAAAATAAAATTCAAAAAATATATTAAAAATACAATCAATGAGACTCAATCTTTATTTACATCACCGATTTTTCTCATAGCAGTGAAATATGGGTAAGAACAACTAAGTATAAAGTTTGATAAAGATATTTATAAAAGCGTATTATTGGTTATGCTATATGATCGAAAAAACGGCCTCTAGTTGGCTTGGAAATGACGATCGATGATATTCCGCAAAAAAAATTATATACAAAATGACAGCGATTTTTATTTCGAAGCCATCTCTAATGCCGTTTTATTAAATTATAAATGGTACTAAAAAACTCTAACTTAGTGTTTTATTACGAATAATTACAGCATAATTAAACAAATCACAAAAATCGATTTTTATAAACGAAATAACCAATTCGTTTTTTAATGTAACAATAAATTAATTTAATTTATTGTTTAATAAAAATTTATATGATTATTTTAAACTAAATTAAATAATATAAAGTAAATAACTAATGCTCTTAATTATTATTTTCATTTATACAGTTTTTTTAATAAAAAAACATCTTTGATTTTTATTACTTAAGAATAATAGGATCTAAAAAAAAACGGCGTCAACGATGGCTATGAAATGAAGATCGCTGTCATTTTATATGCAAAATTATATAGGGAATGTCATCGATGTTTATTTCCAAGCCAACTAGACGTAATTTTTTTTCCATCATACAGTATTATTTGGTGGATAACCTGCGGAGTTCATAAATTATAATACTAGCGATCATTTAATGAACAAAAATATAAAATATTAAATATATTTCATTTCCCCTATTTTATCAGTCAAAATCAACCATGCTTAAATATTAATTAGGTAGGTAATTATCAAATAGATGTTAGATATAACAATATGATTAACAGAAATTAAGATATAGAAATGTTAAAATGTTTAATTCTAATTTTAAATTTTGAAATTAAAATGACTATTAAGGACATTTATGATTAAAATAAGACATTTATGATTAATATTATAAAAAAAATAATTGCAATTAAAATATAGGTTATTTAATATCTAATTATAATTATTTATTTTATACATTTATACTTACTTTTTATTATACGTACAGATATGCAATATTATACTTATGAATAATATGTGATTTATTCATAAGAAGCAAAACGACTCAAAGTGAGAAGATGGACGCCTTTTTTAAATGTAATTTACTATTGTTATACAGGGTGAGTCTTAAGTGCAAATATTTTCAGGGCTGGTAGATCTCGATAAAAGAAACATATTTTCTCTTTCCGTTTTTCACTAAGTCCAAAATAGCGAGTATTTTATTTTAAAATAGAGTTATTCAAGTTTAAAAATTTCCAAAAAATATATTTTTTGCTTAAATTTTGAGAACCACTGCATCTTTTCTGGGTTTTCTTTCTTGTAAATTTACTCTACTACCTATCTAAACTAGTCTACTATCAAGAAATTATGTTTCTTAATAAAAAAAAACTCAAAAAAATCCAAAATATTTTTCAAAAAATTCCAAATTTTCGAAAAATCAATTTCTCGAAAAAAACTCATATTCGTGTTTCTAGGGTTGAAATATACTACCCCTAAAATATTTAAGACTCACCCTATATTTTTTTATGTCTTGTACAAATTTCAACTTGAATAATTAAATTTATAACACTTAATAACTTAAGATTAATTTAAATTATATTTGAAAGTTTTTTATTTGAATTAAAAATTAATTGATTTGTTATTTTACTGATGAGTGTTTATTAAGTTTTAATATCTATCTATATTATTAATTCAACATGAAAAAAAAACAAATAGATTTAATAAATATATATTAGAGCTTAAATTATTATATTTTTTTTTGGCAAATCAAGAATAATATTAGAAAAGAAATAAGTATAATAAAAGACATTGAACAAGATAATCGAAACATGCAAAATTTGTTTAAAATAATATTTTATATTAATATTTTTTTAATTAATTATTATAAATATCGCCTGAAATAATTAGCGTCTAAATCTTGAATTTATTTTATTAAATTCATAATATAGAATTAAACAAAATAATAGTTCAATTAAATTTGATTAGACTAAAAAGTTCATAACTTAAGTTTTGATAAAAGAGTTAATTTAATTATAAAAAAATTTTAATTATTTTTTTACTAATTTTATTTACTGAACCTGCTAAAACCAGTTATTACTTAATTATCTTTTTTATTTGAATTTCAAGTAAAATGGTAATCTAATACACAGTTACCAGAGTAAAAAAACATGTTATTCACATCTCTGATAATTCTAACAGTTTCGATACTGCAAAATAATACAAGTACAACAATTAAATAATTACAATGAAACTGGCACTGGCACAGAATCGTACCGCTCGCTCTCGGTACCAAAGCCACCGGACTACTAGCAGCCGCCTCGCGCGCCAAAATCTGTAAAGGTATCTTCACACTCGACTTACGAGCGTAGCCGGCTTTCTTCCGGACTCGCCGTCCGTGGTGGGGACATTTCATTCATAAAATCCATTTTGCGCCGCCCAATTCTGACACACCTCTCTCAGTTCCATAGATATAGTTGTATACTCAGACGTTTGGTCGTCAGAAAAGTAGCAGTCGCTGCACAGAACGCGCGTAGTACTACAACCGATAGATTTGTATTCAACTAGCTAACGGACTGACTGAATAGCGGAGGTAGCAGTCTACCTACGCGACCAGTTCGAAAACAGTTAAGTTTAAGCGCGTTTTAATAAAATCAGTGAAAGAAGGAGAATATAATGGAGTGGTCGCTGGCTCAAGTTCTTAACCGGGATCTGCGGACGATAAAGACGCGGCAGTTTTGTTCGTCCTGCAACAGGAACCGACAGGAAACGGAAACAAGGACCGCAAGAGTGACACCGAAGAGGCGTGACATAGTCCACAATAGTCGGATCTCGCCAAATAGTTCCTCGGATTTAAATCAGAATTGCCATAGGGATAGTAGTCGCCGGAAAGTGTTTGACAGGACTGAGTTGACGGTCACGTTGACGCGGTGCGGTATCAGGGCGGCAGGAGTGGGCGCCAGCAAAAGAACGGCCAGTTCCTTTTCGTTATTCAAATGTAAGTCTTTCCGTTTTATATATGACAACGATCTAATTTTACCATACTTGTATCTGAACGAGGTACTGCCCGTAATCGTACACTTTGTTATTTTGATTAAAAGGTAAATGTAATATCATCTTTTATTTGGTTTGTGTTTTATTCTCTGGAGATTCTTTTTAATTTTCTGATATTATTAAAAGGTTGAACGCGTTTCTGTTCATATTGATACAATTTTGAAATTTTGAAAAGACTAATTTAATGCCAATTTATAAATAAATTTGGAGATTTTTTTTGGCTGGAAATCTACATGTTACAACTACTTCTCTACTCTATTAATTACTATGATATTTAACATACACATTCAGTTCCCGCGAAAATTCATTACAATCATTTCGACTACTCAACATTTTGTAATGAATAAAATACTCAACTTTTTTCTAATTTAGATATAATTTGAGGTTATAAATACATCCATTTATCCATGGATGTTACAATGGTGTTTATTTCTTTAACCTCAACCCTTCACAAAGGGGCAAATTTAGGTTGTTATTGGGATAACTAAAAGATTTGATATTTTAGTTCTAATTTTGAAAAGTTGTTTCTAAAATCTTTTGGTGCTTTCCTTTTTCAGTCGTTGTACCGACGAAATATATTGACCCACTAATTTTTAGTCGTTCAAATTTTAGAACATAGTATCTTTATAAAAAGAAAAAAATGCAAAATTAAAAAATAAAGATTCATGTATTAAAACATATTATTTATGTTTGTAAACTATTTAATTAATCTGTGAATTTTATGAGATGATTGAACTTGTGCTAAAACGTTTCTGATTAGTGTTTTTATGACTCATACATTTTCAGTTACGACGAATTGTTTGTAATCGAATAATTTAATGAAACAGTATAGAAGTTTGACTCTATCTATTATTTTCCGTGATTAGTAGATAGTGTCCTTTAAGTATTTTAACATCAGTTTTACAGGAGACATTTAAATTAAAAAAAAATATATTTTTATCAAATAACTTTATATCTATTTTACTATACAGAGTGAGTCTTAAATAAGTGCAATTTTTTTTAGTTCTAGTATATACCCAGAAACATGATTATGAGGTTTTTTACACGAAATTTTTTTTTAAATTTGAAATTTTTTGAAAAATTTTTTGGATTTTTTTTAGTTAAAAAACATAGTTTCTTGATAATATGACAACATAAGTAATAGATTATATTTGAAAAAAAAACAAGAAGAAAAACCCAGAAAACATCCAGTAGTTCTCAAAATTTAAGCAATTTTTTTAGTTTTGGAAATTTTCAAAGTAAAATTACTCGGTTATTTTGGAGAAAAAATGTGTTTCTTTTATCGAGATCTACCTCCTAAAATATTTGCAGTTATTTAAGACTCACCCTGTATATACAGGGTGTCCCAGAAATAAGTGCAAGTATTTTAACTGGGAGGATAGTTCAACCCCAAAAACACGCCTATGAAGTTTTTTTCGCGAAAAAATTTTTTGATAATTCGGAATTTTTTGAGAACATTTTTGTATTTTTTTTTAGTTTTTAGTTAAAAAACATAATTTCTTGATAATATGGCAACATAGGTAGTAGATTAAATTTACAAGAAAGAAAATCCAGAAAAGATTCAATGGTTCTCAAAATTTTAGCAAAAAATATATTTTTTTAAATTTTCAAAGTAAAATAACTCCGTTATTTTGGATTTATTTGAAAAACGACAAAGAGAAAATATGTTTCTTTTATCGAGATTTACCACCCCTTAAGAGTATATTACGCTGGACTGTTCGGGTCGCTCTCAGGGGTCGTATAAAGCGGGTGTGTGGCCGACGGAAATATATATTATATTTCAGAAATCTGCCTAAGGCTAAGCCCGATCCTGCCGTGTTAAGCCACACCCAAAGTTCCAAACATACGGGCTTTGATTAAGGCTTGATTAAGGTTTGCAGCAGGGCCATGTAAGTGAAATATTAAAAATGGTTCCAGCAAAAGTTTCCCAATTATGACGGATGATGGCGCTGATCGTCAAAGTTTTGGACAGAGATTTTGCTTACCGACAATACGACGTGAGCTACGACCGGACCAGGACCAATCAGAATGATCAGTCTTTCTTGGACATTTGCCGCGGAAGTGTGTGTTAATTTCTGTTGTGATAAGTGTGGTTGTGTTTGCAGTTTGATTTTTCGGTTTTGATATTATGTTAAAATTAATTTTGAAGTATTGTATCACCTGTTTTTATGTAATAGTACTTTTTTTAGTTCTATGATTGTTTCTATGTTATGATTTGTTAATGTTTATTTAACAATGTTATACCAAAGAGGTTATACTTAATATACTTATCAATTTGCATAGCCTAACTTTTTTATCAATAAACTTTGTAGATTTTCAGATTATTTAATTCCTTTTGTTTCCGTTTGTAATTTTATTTTTAAGACATATTATGTGATTGTTTCACATAATATGTTTTAAAAATAAAATTGCAAATAGCGAATAAAAATAATTAAAATAAAAAAGTGTATTTTACAATTCCCCCCGGCCCCGCACCCCTTTGGTTAACCTATAATGTCAGCTATGTCGAGAGATGGCGTTACGAAAATGGAACCGATTTATTACAAGGAACTTGGGCTTCTTTTTCGTTAGTATATTCTGTGGTTTGCAGAGCTTCAGCATTTGCCATAAAATAGCGAGCAATTTGTTATAAAACTATATAAATTATATATCACTGTGATCACAAAGCTTCAATCTATTTCCCTATTGTAACGGAATTTTAAATTATGTCTTTATTTTCGAGAAAATTTAGTTCAAACATAAGGAATATTTTGTTGATGTTTTACCTTCAAAATCTTAAAAATAAAGAAGTTGTCTAAAAATGTGCTACAATACGGATATAGTATAATCCTTTATCTTTAATTTCCTTCCTCATTTGTGTCAAAATACCTAGCCAGTTTTACATAAAACGTTAAATGCCGAAAGCTTATTTTACTACTTTTTCGGACTAGTGAAATGGACTCTTAAAATACTTGCACATATTTCTGGGACACCCTGTTTAATATTATGTGTAGCAAAATGGAGAATTTTACTATATTAAAACCTATCTCAAATATTTTGTAGGTGATTTTTTTAATAACTAGAATTACTGTACCATTCTATAAAATTGAAAACACTCATGAGCATTAGATGTAGTAATTTTTGGAGTTAAATATATCTCTTACATCACTTAGCAAAACCGTTCAAATCAATCAAATGTGCATTCTTATACTGTAAAGGTTATAAGGTTATTCTGGTATATTGTAGCTAATGATCTCACCAATAACATTAGACGTCATTGGATCTCACCCTTAACCGCAGAAAAGTGATTTTTTTTAAAATACTGTTTGGTGTCTAGACAAAATGGAAGTTAAATTAATGAATCGCATTTTGCGATATATTATTGTAAATAATTAGCCGGTATACATAAGTTTATTGTGTAGAAACGCAGATGTTTTTACAATGTCATTCTTAAAAGGAGAAGGTACTTCGATACTCTATTCACATTCCTTAATGATTCAGGACGATGATATTTGAAGAAAAATATCTTATAAAGTTCCATTTTCCTATATATTTAATTAAATAAAAGAATTTTATATCACAATTAATTTCAATATTGATTGGTATTTTTGTTTATTAGCATCATAATTATATGATAAATAATATTGACTTTTTCAGTAGCTATTTACAACTTTTTATATATAACTTCGATAGAACAAAACAGTTAATTGAGAATAACCTCATGCCATGTGAGAATCCGATATTTTGCATTGTCCGCATATCTAGACCTTTAAATGTTCCAAATACAGAACACAAAACTATATTTAAATTAGGTACTTTTGGCTAATCAAAACAGCAACATATCAAAACAGCAACGATACTGAGTAGATTGAAACAATGAAAACTATTAAATAAATAACAAAAGAATCTAAAGATGTAAAAAGAAAAATATAGAAACTATTTTAGTTGTCCTACGAATTTTTGATGCAGGAAAGATTTACTAAATTTTTTCCTTCAAATTTTCGGTTAATTATAAGCTTCTTACTTAAATATTATGTTCTAATTTTTGGGAAATTATTTTATTACAGATATTTTTATCAATATAAATCTTAATTTTGTTGTTTGAACAGAAAAAAATCTAGCATAAACTAATTAGTAATCATATTCAATTCGTCAAAAAGAATAACAACGACATGCATGTTTTCACATGCGACGGATCGTCCGCGACGGACCGTCCGTCGTGTTTTTTCAAGATAGCCGTCGGACGGAGCATACGCATACGCCTGTGAAATTGTTCATATAAACTCATGGTACTTGCTCGAAGTCGCGGACGCTCCGTCGCGGACGGTCCGTTATTTTGTTAAGAAAAGTGTTTTTCAGTAAAATTGTGGACATTTTTCTATCCGCAATCAAGTGTGGCTTTTAGATAAACTATAATATAATGAAAATATAGTGAAATTATTACTTTATAGGACCGAAATAAAGAAACATTCAACGTTGAAATTATTTTCCGTATTTCTGAAAAACGGTAAGAGACCGCCAGAAAAAAAGTTCAGATTCGTAATCTACGACCTCAAAATAGGGTGTATACCCATTATGGTGAAAATCGGACGATTTCCAGTTTTCCCAATAATTACCAAACCTTCTAATATTTTGAATCTAATATATTGAACTCTAAATAATTTCTTTCTTTTATACTTTTTTCTTTATTACAATTGGAGGTTTGGTGGTACCTTGGTGGTACAACAGCAAAATAAAACACTAGTTCACCACAATACACCAAAACACTTTACTAATACTGGTCGCAGTTTTAATCATTTGCTGTTGATGCTAACATGGTAAACGAAACGCGCATTCAGTGTTGGAAGTAAAGTATTTTGATTAACTCTGTTTTTTACATGTTTAAAAGACATTTTTGTAATTTGCCTTTATGACATCAAAAGGTTTTAATTATAATATGAGGCATGCTGAATTTATTCCACATAT